AAACTAACGAAACTGTTAACTAGCATGTGAAATGTTGTCGTTGGAATGTGGTTATAGACAGTTAGAAATTGAACAAACGTGGCTTAATAACGTAAAACAATTACTGCAATATAATATTGTAGATTTTTTTTCCAACGATAATAATATTCTAGAAATTCTAGTTTAGAACTGAAACAAAATCAAGAGGCCAACGTCACATCCAAAAATAGCACACAAATATCAATCTTATTTCAATCGTTTTCTGGTCAGAACGTTGCAATAATGGAAATTTTCATTAAAAAAAACTGTAATGATAATAACAATAAGAAAATAAATTGAAATAACAAAACGACATACACGCATCTATTTTAAACAGTTTCAGAAAGGCAAACCTTTATTTTATATACACTCAGAGGCACTTACATTTTTTTCTGTATTAATATTTGTGGACAGATTTTGTTGAAATTTGGACCACACAAAATGTTCTGTTATTTTCCCTATTTTTTATCAATATAAGTCTAAGAAGTAAGTATGATATGTTGAATTTGGTATGGTCCAAATTTGAACAAAATCGGTCCACAAATAACCTATTAATACAAAAAATGTAAGTGTCGGGTAATAAGTGCCTCTGAGTGTATTTGTATGTCAAAAAATATCTTAAATATCATTTATTCATATACATCAAACATTTACACAGCTAAAATGAACAACAAAAGTTGTTCAATATTTAGTACTTTACTACAGTGATGGTATCTAACAAGGTGGATGATCACGTGACCATTTGTTTACGTTCAAATCAGGTCAACGCTAATAGAATTTGCTACTTTTTCGTTATATTTTCGATATTTGAATAATAAACAAACACAATGCTCATGGCAAATATTGCCCAATTCCAGTGGTATATATTTTTTCCAATTTAGCCATTGTACATTTCTTGTGCAGAAATTGTAACACATATTTTGCATCGAATAATTTATAAGCATAACGGGAAAAGTATAAGAACTACAATGATAAGATATATACCATTGGAATCTGGAAATAATAACCTGGAGCATGGTATATGTTTATTACTCAAACATTGAATGGCATAATGAAAACATAGCAAATATCATTAGCAGAGATCCAATGCGACCGTAAACAAATGTCACGTGATCACCCCACTTGGACTATTTTCTTAACAAAAATACACCATCCATATCTAATATATTACCATACAACCAGCAATGAGGTTATATAGTTGTAAAGATGGAAGTTGAACAGTTTAATGTAAACAAATTTCTTAACACAGATATAATAGAATAAAATTTGAAGGTTCATAACACATAACACATGCGGGTAATTTGGCTTCTTATACGTTATATATATGTACTCGAACCTGTGTACGCTTGCTCTTCAATGTTGTAGGATGTACTTTAGTTTCATTCATGGGAATAAGTTAATCAGCTAGTTAATAGAAGACCGATGGTTTCCGCTCGTCACCAAAATAATGAAATGTGTAAATTTTTCCTTCGCAATGAAGTTCGTTATATGACACTAATCATGCCGGTGTAAAATCTTAAAACCCGACCAAAATAAAGTTTTCACTACTAGTTTAATGGAGGGAGCCTTTTTTTCATATTCTATTTTTCAAAACTTGATTTTTCTGGATACAAATGGTCTAAAAATTCTTCAACATCATTAACTATCATTTGTTTTCTCTCGTCCGACATCGCCATTGAAAAACTGTTTGATACAACTAGATATGTTGGCTTTCTGCAAAAAAATATATATATATAATATACATAATATTATGATTGCATATACATGTATACTCTCACGGTTAAAAATTAACTTTGTACTTTACCGTGGGTATGGAAAAATCTTCTTTAGAAGAAATATAAAGAAACTGTTACTGTTAAGAATAATTCGATTTATAACTTTTCCTTCTGAATTTCTTAAAAAGACTTGCAAAGCTTCTATTTTTGATTATGTTCATTACCAATTTTTGGAAATTTAAAGTGAGACTCTCTTGTTTAAAATCTTATAAATGACTAGGATTTAACTTTGATAACATTGAAAGATAAATTATTAACAAAATCTATCATTTATCAGCAATTTTATATTATAAACTTTTATTTAATCAAAGATAGATTATTCTTACTTCAGTTTGATCTCAAGCTCACAAATTTCTATCTGTTTCTTGCGAGATTCATGCGATCTGTTGTCCAACAACAACTTTACTTTGTGGCAGCATTTATTACGGGCGTTTCTGTCGAACAAAGATTTAAAAGATTGTATTTAAATGTATATCACAGAATCACAATAAATTATATTTACTTTCATGTACGTATATCAAGTTCTGCAAACGACATGGCTACCGAAATATTTAAGGTAATGAAAACAATTGACATTGAATTAATTCCTTTCTGAATACCTTTTGAATTGTTCTCTCGTCACAGTATAACAAGTAACAAGCTAAATTTATAACGATAATTGTTAGAGTTCGTTTATTCTATCCAAGTTTCTTAGACGAAAACTTCCAAAGACATTGAATAATGTTTTCAGCAATAAAGATTTTGAATTGAGTGTTGTGCTGCACGTGCCAGAAATAATGCATTGAGGGCAGCTGGGGTCAAGCTTACTTATGAGGGCAGAAATTGTCAAGCTTACTTCAATGTACGTTTTAATCTTACTATATATTAATTTTGATGATAAAAAATGTTTTACTTCATTTCTGTCGCTGCATCAATGCGTCCGGTTTCTTTTAAGTATTGAATAAACATGAACTGAAATTGTATAGAGTTGTGATGCCGCGTCTTATGTGATGACGTCATCTCGAATTCCTTGGGATATCTGTAATATTTGAAGATTTATAATACTTTCTTTTGTAACGCCGATTTTTATAGGTTAATCTTAACTTTCTTATAATTTATATTCATTTTTTGTATTTAAACCAAAGAAAGCATTCTTATTGCATTAAAGACTGCTTTTATAGACTTTTATTGCCATTTTATCGCGTTACATATAATCGGTTCTTTGTTATATAACCCTTGCTTAGCAAAACAGTAGAGTTTAGAATTACAACCGTTACTATTGGGTCATATAACCTGTTAACAAGTTTTTTTTATAACTAATAATGAAACGTATGTAAAATTTAAGAAAAAAAAATTCTTTAAAGTTTGTTTTAAAGGGTTTTTAAAAATAAAAAATTTTTTTAACTTTTTTAAACCCTATATTTTTTTTAAATTAAAAATCTACGGGTTTGCAGTTTCCAAAACGTTACCCATTAACCATACAGCTTATGTATCTTTTGCTTTTTTTGCGTTTTGACAATTTTTACAGTGTATGTTTTTGCTTCCTTATCATCAATCTTTTCACATTAAGCACTGTATTCTTCGTGTGATAATCATATTACATGTTCTAAATCTATCATCACAACTTTATAAAAACACATGGTTGCACTCTCAATAGCAAGAAAAAAGGTTTTCATTTTTCGTGGCTTAATTATGACGTTATATAGCTATTTTCATCAAATATTTTAAAGGGGTTTAAAGCTAAATTTATTCTATCAAACATTGTGTTCATATCACTGGTAATGGAACATTGTGTTGGTTCCAGCTACATCTGTTATGTTCAACAACTCTTGCATACAGTCAACCTCTACAGAGAGACCCCTTTTTGGAGACAAAAAGTTGTTGTTAAGAGGTATTGCTCTAGAATGGTAAATTTTATTGTGAATTGTTACATCGGGAAGAAACGATGCCGTTGTTGTCGAGAGATGGTTGCTTAATAGAGGGCTGCTCCGTTCTGCAGAGGTTATTTTGTATGTAGAACCTTTCGAAATATTTACAGCAATCTATCATTTTATCTGATAAATATGACGGCTGATTTCTGTCATGTCGTTACTTCGAATTGTCGTAGTTGAAGGGGCAACAACGCGATTGAACGAAATAACGACAAAAATATAAATTCTCGCTTTGTCGCACTGTTTTGTCGTTTTGTCGTTACTTCGCAACGCAACATCACGACAAAACAAAACTATGAAAGCGCTGATACGAGAGTGTAATGCGACACGAATTAACGACAAAACCATAATAGCAGTGCGACAAAACGAGAATATATACTTGTGTCGTTATTAAGTTTATTTGTGTTGTTGCCCTTTCAACCAACGACATGGCAGAAAGCACCCACCATAGATAAACATTGACATACATGGGTTCCTCCTGAACAAAACAATAAAACATATTTAATTTAATATATCAAAACTGATTGACTTACAAGATTTACCTTTTGTGTAACATATTTATGATAGTACGGTCAAACAAATGAGCGCCATGTTCTGCTATGTATCTGTCCTTCGGACCAAACCATTTATTGAGAAGAAAATGTGTGTGCATAACTGAACCCATCCAGCTGTCAAACATGAACGCCCCATCAGTACCAGGGTATTTTGGAGGCGTTTTACCAAGGCAGTCATCTCCGTCCATCTCACAGCTTTCGGTCATACAGTCTTGGTCGCATAAGCCATTGTTGACGCGGTCTACCTCGCAAAGCTTGTTACACATAAAAGGCCTTTCCGACATGAATTTAATCTTTGAAAAAGAAACAAATGAATACAAAATCATTACCTTCTATAAAATAATTGATAAGTTAGACTTTCCTGATCTTTTTTAAAACTATGTTGCTATTTATCAAATTATTTACATGACTCTGCAAAAATTCAACTGAAATTTATTATGGTTTTATGTTAAGTAACATTTTATGTCGCAAAATCATTTCAAAAGGTGCATTTCAGGTGACTTAATTCTAAAAAGTAACTGTTCTGACTTAGTATCGGAAAAAACAACAGATTGTTTTCACGCAATACTCGGCATCGTAAACAAGTAAAATAGCGTAAAATGACACTGATTATTCTGCACATATAGTCATAGATTATGCCTGCTTAAAACTGACATATTTCTCATCAGTCAACATTTACAAATAGTATTAATCAAAGTGCATTTACAGTATGAATCAGCACAGTGTATGAAATAAAATACTTTAAGAAAAAAACATTCATGATAACGGATGTTAAGCATACAAATTCTTACTTACTAACTCTTGTTTTGATTATCTTTCCATTTTTAAAGCTTAAAGTGACATTATGCTTATTTTTTCGAAGTCAAGTTGTGTTAAATTAGTAATATATTTCAAGCGATTGACTATTATATGACTTTTATAATGTTGATTGACTAATAATAAATAATAAAAAATGTTTATGATATAATATAAAAACGACCAAAATTATAAAACGATTGCCCCATTTTTTTCAATTTAGCGTTACTAATATATTCTAAACAATGTTTATAGACATTTATGTTTTTATTTTATTATTTTTTTATTTTATTGTTTTTTATTTATTTATTTTCATTTATCTATTTTTTTTTTGTGAAATATAAAACTGAACACAAATATCAAGCTATTTTGATTTTTACCTGTTCATTGACCATTTACACTTGGATAGGCATAATGTCACTTTAAAAAACATATATGTACTAGTATTTTACAAGTTTTTTAAAATTAGAAAAAATAATAATCTTTTATTGATGTTTTAATCTTTTATGAAATATCATGTTACGTCTATTTTGCTTTTCTATAGCAGTATATTTGTATTACCTTATATTTCCCGGCTATAGTGATGAAGTTGGATAACTGTATTTGTGAGGTCAACATAATATTGTCATTCATGTAAATAAATCTCTTTGATAGGCCCGGTATTCTGTATAAATTACTCTCAATGGCTGGTGATGCGAACGTTGGAAGGTGACTTTTGTTGGCAAATATTTCCTGGAGCAAAGAAATGTCATGTTTTTATTTGATTAAATACAAATACAGTGTGAGATCCAATAATATATAAAATATGCAGCCTTTATTTTTTACGAATAACATATTTGGTACTTAAAGTTAAGTATTCAATGTAAGAAATTTGTGAGTAAAACGATAAAAAAATGTTCTGTAAAATGGTAAAATTCAGAAAGTAATAATATAGTATGTAATTATTCAATATGAACAAATGTTAAAATTAATTTTAAATATAAGAATTCTCATTAATAAGGGTAAAGTTTGTTTTTCTTTCATTTAGTTTTGAAGCTGCATTTCTTTTTTTTTTTTCTTTTTTTTTTCTCTCTCTCTTTTGTGGTTCGGTTCTACATTACACCAACACAGTATAGGTCATATGACAACTTTTTAGCTTTACTACGGAGAAGGCAGGTTAAAATCCAATACAATATTGGATCATAATCATAGATTTTAAAAAAAATTTATATTTGAGAAGCAAAATAATGATATTGATAATGCATGATTTGGAGATGAACTATTAGAACATTTTTATGTAGATTCGAGCTCTTCCTCGGGCGTGATAAATAGATTGTACATGCATATTTGATCTTTTTCGGCGCATGTATATAATTTTTAAATGTAAATATGAGCCGCGTCACGACAAAAGCAACATAGTGCGTTTGCGACCAGCATGCTGTTCGCTTACATACTCTATAACAAGTAGAGAAACAACTGATAGCGAACAGCATGGATCCTGATCAGACTGCGCAGATGTGCAGGCTGGTCTGGATCCATGTTGGTCGCAAACGCACTATGTTGGTTTTGTCATGCCGCGGCTCATATATAGAAACTGCAATGTATTTTCTATAATTTTATGAATCATTTATATGACGTATATTTTACCCTATGCGTCACTATAATAACTTTGGGATGTTTCTTCCTCAGCCAACTGGGGACCTGACCGTTTGTCACAATGAAAATATTCCGTATCCAACTGGCATACAGTTCTATAGATCTTAGACAATATTTCAGTGTTCCAACATCAAAATATCTGTTTAACTCCATAACTTCAGTACTAGAAAATAAAAGTTTGATGCGTTTTATAAAATTAGAAAAAAAGAAGATAACAATACTTAAGAGGCGATTTTTATGGAACGCTAAATCTGTATAAATTCATTTTTGACAGGTTTAGCTGTAACGCTCCATGCTACTAAAGGAACATTGTATTAAGGCAATTTTGACAGTGTCGGAATCCGCAAATAAAATACCCTAGACTTGGCCTATTTATATTTATTTAGTTAAAGTTAAAAGCGTAGAAATTCTAAACATGCACGATTCCAGTTCATTAAAAATAAAAATGAAGTGTAATCTTTTGATTAAATGTGTCGTCAGTCGAAATTTGAAAAAAATAACAAAAAAGCAGCGTGCTAGTACAACCATCATTATAATGAAAGAAACACCCTTTAGGCCAAAATGCCAAAAATCATAGAATAGAAAATTCATACATATATAACAGTATTTAAAGTTTATTTATATTCCCGCCTGATGAAACACATGGTATTCAAAAAATGTATACAAAAAATAACTTGGTAATATTATGTACAATGTATTAATATTTAATGCGATATACTGTAGTATGCGACAGTTCCCTAAATATTTACAAACGTTTTCATTAAAACGTGAATGATATACGAAGAAAAGAAAATGTTGACTATAATGGTTGAACTATATCATGTGTGCTTTTTAATCAGATGCATAATAATCACGGTCAATGGACTTATACCATTAGCTTTGTTTATCTAGGATACAAGCAAATTGTTGGCATATAATATATAATAATAATAATAATAATATTGATTATACATGTATCTTACCAAATCGATATAGTATTTAATATATTTATATAATAATATATAATGCGATCATTGTCAGCATACTTACTTATGACGGTTTATTGAGGACAGATGAGCGTGTAATTTGCTGTTGAACTCCGGATCAGAACCGTTCACCCACGTAAATACCACATCTACATCCTCATTTAGATCACTGAAAAAAACACAAATATACCATATTAACCTTTAACCTTTAAGAAGCGTTTGCCGCCATTACAGAGACGGTGTTTCCAGTATAGAGACTAGAGTCTATGCTGTTGGTAGGGTATTTTTGTTTGTGGTATTTTCATACTGAAAGCATGGTCTGTTCAAAATTCAAAGCTGGGTACTAGTATATCTATTATACAATTGCAGCCGGTTAAGCGCTGAGTTCTTTCAAAATTGAATAAAAAATACCCCCTTTAACTTACCATATCACATTATATCAAAGGACTAGTGCATCTGTTTATTCTGAATATATTTAATGCCACTGGTAGCTTGAATTGACTAGAACTGTTTGAATTTTGAAACGAAGTATTATGTACTTTCATATCGGATAGTTTCAGTAATGCAGACAATATTCAGTTTAAGCGCTTGAGTTTAAACTCTTTATTTTTACACTATACGTCACAGTATTTTTGCAATGACCTGTATATTTGGCTCCTCCTCCTACAAGTCATTCAATCTCGTTCGCGCATGCTTAGTAGACTGGGTATATAAACCGAGCACGCTTCTGCAAATTCCTTTTCGATCCAGTCTCCGAGCTCCAGAAGCTGCCGTGAACTAACACGGAAAATGCCAACCATAAATAAAATAAGTTAAACATAAAAAAAAAAAAAAAAAAAAAAAAAAAAAAAAAAAAAAAAAAAAAAAATATTGGGCCGGCAGTCCGCCTTTGGGTTTAAATTTGCAGTGTCTATAATAAATATAATTATGGGTGCAGTTTACCCACATTTAAATGTATTTGTGATACCGTCGACGGATTACAATGCAGTAATTTAATTTCACTTAATAATTAATATATCACCCTGGAAAAAGAAAGAAAAAAAAATCATAATGGGTGCAGTTTACCCAGATATATTTTATAATGGGTGCAGTTTACCCAGATATATTTCTATCAGATTATCATATTGAACATGGGTGCAGTTTACCCAGATATATTTTTATTATGGGTGTAGTTTACCCAGATATATTTCTATTATCATATGGGTGCAGTTTACCCAGATATATTTCTATCAGATTGAACATGGGTGCAGTTTACCCAGACTTATTGCACTTTTGGGTGCAGTTTACCCAGATATATTTTATTATGGGTGCAGTTTACCCAGATATATTTCTATCAGATTATCATATTGAACATGGGTGCAGTTTACCCAGATATATTTTTATTATGGGTGTAGTTTACCCAGATTTATTTCTATTATCATATGGGTGCAGTTTACCCAGATATATTTCTATCAGATTGAACATGGGTGCAGTTTACCCAGACTTATTGCACTTTTGGGTGCAGTTTACCCAGATATATTTTTATTATGGGTGCAGTTTACCCAGTTATATTTCCTAATTTTGAACATATATGGGTGCAAATTACACAAGGATATTCATGGAATTTTGAACATTTATAGCTGCATTTTCCCAAATACAATAATGTAATTTTGTACATTTATTGGTGAATTTTGGCCAAGTATTGGTACATTTTTCATTGCAGATAATTCACGTAAAAATTACCAATTAAAAATAATATGTTATAAAATTGTATCGTTGTGAAGAACAAATTCGTTATAACAATAACATGTTTAAAAATAGGTTTTCCGGTGACCCAATTCCTTGCATGGTTGGTTGGCTCATCTCTAGTAAAGACACTTTTCATTAGTTTTTCGTTTTGTGTGGCATGTGCTCTTGTATGTGAAGTTTTTGTGTGACATGTGCATTTCATTTCATAGAGCCTACAATTTAGTATCTTATTATTTAAATCTACCTGCATATTTGCTTGAACATTACGGTGTGATTCAAATGGGTTCTTCTTCGTCAGCGACTGCTGATGAAGAAGAAACTTTCTTTTAAGCCTAGATAAATACAAATTTTCCTATGGTTGTGCAACATCTTTCCAAGCACTTAATTAATTCAGTCTCAGATTTGTTTGCGACATTCTTATAGATATATGGCTGTTCTCTTTGGTGGAACGTATCTATAGTGACATACAAAATAGTACAAACTTTATTAGAAATAGGGATTGTTGATAAGTCTTAAAACCCCGTGATCTTTTTGAGTAGATGGTGCCATTAACTCCTGTCTGGTCACAATACTACGTTAATTAATTAAATTTCGTTCGTGGTGTATGCTTAAACACACCAGTATCTGCAATTAAATCGTCATGACTGAGTCATTTATTTTGGTTTTATGTTAGCCCGCTGTTGGCGGAAGGCTCTCTCAATTCTTCGAGACCCTTTTGGCGAAAATCTAACATAAAATTACAGGTTTTTGCAATCGATGACGAAGCAAAACCTATTTTATAATATTCTATTTTATATAAAGGTTCAAACTCTATTAACTTTATGTTACTTAATGACCAGTCATGACGGAAATTTTATGCCAACCATAAATAAAATAAGTTAAACATATATGTTGCATTTATTATCATTTGTTCCTTTAAAGTGACTATGTTGGAAAAATAATATTCAGTTTAAGCGCTTGAGTTTAAACTCTTTATTTTTACACTATACGTCACAGTATTTTTGCAATGACCTGTATATTTGGCTCCTCCTCCTAACAAGTCATTCAATCTCGTTCGCGCATGCTTAGTAGACTGGGTATATAAACCGAGCACGCTTCTGCAAATTCCTTTTCGATCCAGTCTCCGAGCTCCAGAAGCTGCCGTGAACTAACACGGAAAAATACCCACCCGCCCTTCCCATTTGCTTTGCTGTTGTCTCTTTTTTCTGTTTTCAGGTAATTATGACCGCCGCGATACTTAGCCCTTCTTCGTCATGGCTGGAATTATCATTTCAACAGTCAATATTTGTTTTGCGACATCCGGAAATTTACCAACGTCGACTGCCAGACCCTTATCATTTGAATCCGACGTCGGTTCAAAATTTACATTTAACTGGCCTGTACATAACCATAAACATTTCGAACACCTGTGGGATGCAACTGACATTCGGATATTTGTAGAATAGTCATTAGATAACCTGTAACCGATGTCGGTACAAAACAAAACACTGTTAATTAACTTAACCCATGTGTAAATAAAACACATATTGTCTTTAAAAAAAAAATATTGATATAATGGTTATTATCATATCATTACATTGTTATACATGGTGTCAAGCAAGTTTACTTACATTATATATCACACTACTATTTATTTAAAATTATAATTTTTCTTATAAAGAACGTTTCTCTTTATTGAGCTGTATGTATTTTGTATTTTATATGTTTACTGGCATATCTGAGCAGGTCCGTTGTTCTATATTCCGAGGAATAGTCTGAGGAGGTTTCCTCCGTGCATGCCAACGGATGCTACGGTTCCTCTTAAAAAAGGGGTTTTACGTAGGCGGCCAGTATTCCTAAGACGAATATACGATCAAACCTGTTGAGTAATTGTTCTGGTTTGGAATGTCCTAGACATTCTATGGCAGTTTTGATCGTGATATGCTTGATAAATGTATTTATATATACAAATGGCTGTATCAGTCTTCAAAATTTAACTAATTTTTATTGATAATATTTATAAAACATATTTTATAAGCTTCGGATATCAAGTGTTTATCATATCTGGCATTGTCAGCACATTGTCTCTTTTTCGAAACATAATTTTAATTGATTATATCTGAATAAACATATTAAGCTACCGAAGCATATATAAGCAATATATTAAATGTCACTTCCGACTGTTAGGATATGAGTATTAGTCATATAATATTATAATTGATATACATGTAATTGTTAATATTATTCTATAACATATTGTCTGGAACATTTAATGCTCTTATTCAGCCGTCGATATGGCGAAAATCTAACATAAAATTACAGGTTTTTGCAATCGATGACGAAGCAAAACCTATTTTATAATATTCTATTTTATATAAAGGTTCAAACTCTATTAACTTTATGTTACTTAATGACCAGTCATGACGGAAATTTTATGCCAACCATAAATAAAATAAGTTAAACATATATGTTGCATTTATTATCATTTGTTCCTTTAAAGTGACTATGTTGGAAAAATAATGCAAGTTACATGGTAAATAAATTTTAAACATGTTACATTATCAAAAAATATCTATTAAAAACATCTACTTTCGGAAATATATGGAAATGTATATATCGGTGTGAGGAGGGGTTGTTTGGTGCGAAACGAGTGTAACACATGTGACATATATTATTTAAAAGAAAGAGATACAACCGTTGAAATGTTATATGTGCGATAGGTGAACATTTAGCCCACTGGGTGCAACTAATTTTACTCATGTCACCAAGGCAGACCAAGATCAGTCCGCACACCCATGCTTTCTGATCATGGTCTGCACTGTTTGCTATTCAGACAATACTCATATAGAGAATTTTCTCTCATTTTCTCTAAAAATGATAAATGAATTTGTTCAGGTTAAAGTCCGTTCAAGATATTCAGCGTGGTAGGAGTTATAAAAGACTTACACTTCTACGTTCGAATGCATGGTGTCAGTGTTGATACCTTCTTTCAACAGTTGCTCATTATAAGCGTCAAGCTGAAATCAAATAGAATTAACATTTAAACAACATCCTTGTATAAATTGGACAATGACTATTTATCTCTGTCAGAAACCTGATACATATGTTACCATGCACAGATATATATGAATAATGTATTTTATGACAAGCAATAAAGAGTTTAAAGCCATATTCGCTGGACATATTGCGATGCCGTAAACTATCACTTACAAAAAGGTTTGCCAACTACACATATAATTTGCAAGCATATACATAACGTCGATATTCGAACATTCATAATTTAAATGTATATAACTTAACATGGGTATAATTTCATAGTTTATGTAATAGGTACTTGTGTATTGACTGGCTTAGATGTCCACGGTTGATTAATATGGAACGCCGTGACTGTCTTATGTGATCAATGTTTTTGCTATCTTGTAAACATGTAGTCAATGTAATGTATTGGTATATGTCATAGTTAAGATGATATATGTTGACATTATTAATCTATCAAATTAGCATAGTAAGAGAGGAAGAAAAAAACGAGATTCATTCCTAATTGTTGTGAACTGAACATCACTGGGGAATTTCGTGCTTACACATATTTGCATACCATACAAATGACAAAAGTACATAGATCAAACCCCAGGTGTATTATTTCTTATGCTTATTGAACATTAATGATTCAACTAGATTAAACTATGGATGACCTTTTTGTAGCCGCTGATGATAAACAGGAAATAGGAAACACGAATAACACCTTGAATAAAAAAGTATTTACTAAGCACAACTATTCAAAGAAAAGAATCAGATAACATTATATTATGTTTTTGTTGCTATTGTGTTTTGTTTATCGTACTTTTTCATAATTTCTTCATTAAAGACACCATAGCCTCAGAAATTAGTAGATTTTTTCCTTTTTAGAAAAGGTCCAACATTTTATAACGGATATAGAACATGTTAGATGTTAAACAATTGACTGAATGTGCAGTAATGTGTCGTAAAGGTAGCAGAATATACAAAATACTAAATATAATTATACCAAAAGGCAAAAGAAGCAAAATGCATTTCGTCTTTATGGCCAATGAGAAACTTTTCGGGAAACTGTAACAAAATGCCAAAATAATGAGAAAGAAAAATATAAATAGATAGCATATTGCTAATGGACCTTTAAATTTTATTACATTTTTGTTGATATTATGTTAACGAGGTTTTTTTGGTTAAATATAAATGACGTCCTTAATTAATTCAGTTTAATTTCTATGCGGGTTTTATTCATAAAAATAATTAAGGTTCGATATCAGCCGGAAAAAAGCCTCACACATAAATACTCTTTAAAGGTAAATAGGGACATTATGATGTCATCAATTAGCAACATGATGTTGTGAAACACACCATTTTAACGACAAAAGTAGAACCAAGAATCTTCTATTTTGTGTTTACTATGTTTAGTAGAACCTGTTTACTATGATAAGTAGAACCTCTTAACACATAACGGCCTTTAAATGAAGAGGTTTATTTAACAGTTGTAACAACATTGTAATTTGCCATTGCAGAAAAAGAAATAACAAACATAATTGAATGGGATAAGGCCGTGACTTTATTAAGCATTTGGTGCAAATAAATGTCAATGAAAACAAAATATGAAATAATGTAATGAATAAAATATGAAAGACAGCTCCCAGCGAAAATGCTTGGACAGCTACAAAGCAACGCAATGGTGCTGAAACTATGATAATAAGCGCTAAATATGCTAAATTCTGTTACAATACGGTCTGGGAAATGGAGTCGTATGGCATGGAAAATCCAGTAGAAAATAACATATTCAGAGCTAAAGAGAAAACGAGGCGAAGGTGAACTCTCAGAGATCTCCGTATATAATGAGATGATGTTGACGGACAGCATTCATTGCACCGAAATGCACATAATAGCGTGTATTGAGGGCAATTATGTATTACATACGTTAATTATTTAAGCACACACCATTACAAATTTCAGAAAAAATGATGAAAGTTTAGAAAGTCACCTACTAGGACGCCTATTTAAGCTCTTTTTTTTTAATGATAAAACATATAAATATGTTTGTTTATATGAATAGATGGAAAACCGAATATATGGAGAGCGACAATGCAGGGTTGGACGTAGCAACTAAGCTACTATGTTATAAATAACCATCCAAAAAATTGACTGAGCTAAGCGGCAGACAAAGATTCGAACAGGGGGGCTAACATGTCTGTTTCAACATACCCATTTTGTTAGAGGTTTGTAGCAAAGCCATCTATTTTTTTTTTTTTTGAATATGTACGGACCCACACGTACATACTATTTTTGCAGCTATCGTAAGACCACTAATAGCCGTTTGGCCGAGAAGCTGAATTTTAACCCTGTTCATATAAGACACAGTCAATTCAAGGACATGGTGAACGGCCGACCTTTAGGTCTAGCCCCCCTCTAACGGTTAAAGGGCGCCCGACCAATAACACCAATGTTAAGAGATGGCCAACCGAACGCGAGGTTGCAGATACGGGAGGCTTACCTAGAAGAAAAAATACAATTTTTTTTTTCTTTTTTTTTTTTTTTTTTCTTTTTTTTTTTTTTTTTTTTTTTTTTTTTTTTTTTCTTTTTTCTGAGGGATGGGTTTTTTTGTTGTTGTTTTTTTTTTGTGATTAATTTTGGAAGCCTCGGGCTGTTAAAATAAAAAAGAGTGTATAAATCATTTATAAAACAAAACCGGTGCTCACTCAAAAAAATAAAATTGCATTAGAGTAAAATCTTTGACGAGTGAAATAGATGACTTTCAAAATTAAGTTCAATAAAATGAAAGAGCTAAAGTCACGACGGGCGATTAGAACAGGGGGGGGGGGGGTTAACATGTCAATTAACACACACACACAAAAAGGAAAAAATCTTATAACATACAAGTTCATCTCGAAACTGATACAATTGATTTATCTCTAGGTTAAATTTCGACAAAGGACAATTGTGTGCCCAATAAAAAGTCTAACATACGCAATTAATCAATCTGCAAACTGTGGTCGACTCGCTCAGGAAAACCAAAACCCATTGGGAAAATAGGAAACCTGCATCCGTTTGTCAATGTCATACCACCGGATGTCGGATCGCATCCTTGCAAATTGATACAAATTTTACATTTACGCATGTTTTGAAATTATTTAAATGTTCTATTGGAGTATTTTTTAACTTTACGCATTTGCACAATTATTAGTTACGACTTTTAACACTGTTAAAAATTACAAGTTTTAACACTGTTTATAAGTTAAATGTCTACTGCAGACAGCTTTTGTTCCAGCTATGAACATCATACAGTGATGAAAGTTAACACTATGTCCAAGTTTATTACGGATGGTCTCCTTATTGTGGTACTCTTTAGTTGGGCAAGCAGCATGGCATGGCATGGCATGGTTTAACAGTGGAATGGAGTCCGGCTCACAGCTGAAATATAAAAGTCTTGACAGCAGTAAAGCGTACAACAAAATTTGTATATAAATATCAGGAATTAAGGGTAGGGTGGGTGGGGTTTTAATGAACGATGTTACCACGTTGGAATTTAAGCTAGAAGTGATTTACTAAAGCTGTAGGATTCTACGCACGGAATTCACGTGACAGAGATAACGGTGTAAACTTCTAAACCTGTTTTATACACGCTTAGACGAGTGTTGATACGGTCATGCATTAATAACCCGCTAAATTAAAACGCTTTATTTAATAAAGAAAATAAACCCACTTAATTTCTATGCGGGTTTTATTCATAAAAATAATTAAGGTTCGATATCAGCCGGAAAAAAGCCTCACACATAAATACTCTTTAAAGGTAAATAGGGACATTATGATGTCATCAATTAGCAACATGATGTTGTGAAACACACCATTTTAACGACAAAAGTAGAACCAAGAATCTTCTATTTTGTGTTTACTATGTTTAGTAGAACCTGTTTACTATGATAAGTAGAACCTCTTAACACATAACGGCCTTTAAATGAAGAGGTTTATTTAACAGTTGTAACAACATTGTAATTTGCCATTGCAGAAAAAGAAATAACAAACATAATTGAATGGGATAAGGCCGTGACTTTATTAAGCATTTGGTGCAAATAAATGTCAATGAAAACAAAATATGAAATAATGTAATGAATAAAATATGAAAGACAGCTCCCAGCGAAAATGCTTGGACAGCTACATAGCAACGCAATGGTGCTGAAACTATGATAATAAGCGCTAAATATGCTAAATTCTGTTACAATACGGTCTGGGAAATGGAGTCGTATGGCATGGAAAATCCAGTAGAAAATAACATATTCAGAGCTAAAGAGAAAACGAGGCGAAGGTGAACTCTCAGAGATCTCCGTATATAATGAGATGATGTTGACGGACAGCATTCATTGCACCGAAATGCACATAATAGCGTGTATTGAGGGCCACACAATATTTTATGAAATAAAATTCGCCAATCAGAAAATACCTATTACAATCACGATTTATTTTAAGGTAATATAGACTTTTACTTATATTACGATGGGAAGACATACATATACATGTGTACTTATATTCTTACATTGAATTTATGCCGATTGATAAACACCATTATAATATGGGGAGACTTTTGAAAGAGACATACTGGTTACGTAAGACAGAAACATTTTTCCGGAAGGGTTTGAATGCAAAGGTGCTTTACAAATAATAAAATCGTTTTCCAAGTATATATACTTGCAACTTTTTACAAACTCGTCAATATCTTTTTTAGTACATATCGGCATAAAAAGACTGTTCTATTTTAGTAGTCATTAGCTGTATCTAAAATTGTTATTAATTTATTTGAATCTATACAAATACATTATTTATGTCGATGATATAAGTATTTAATTACCTCCCTTTATTCGCGCATATTTTTGATTGTTTCATTTATATTCTACATTATTCATAATGTATTCATATGATTTTTGATTATTTCGTATAACATAAATTGATTTTGAGCATAATACCATGTTTTGAATAGATATTAGATAGATCATTTTCATTTTATTCGATAGCTTTATAAGATATACTGATTGATAACGATGTTTCTAAATTATTATCTCCCTTTTTTACAATTTTCTACATGTGATTAAATTCAAAGCACATTTTTTTCGGATTCTAAACTTTCACATAAGTACTCACTACTTGTTATTTTCATACTTGTTGTAATTATTTACTAGCCTAGTTTCTCTATGAAAATATATGTATCTTTTGATCAAGTTAGTTTATGTAATTCTTTTCGAAAATTATATATGCTATGTAAAAAAATACGTTCATACATACATGTGCACATGTTTTATTGTATTACTTATTGTAATATTATAACGTTATTTACGCGCCAAATGTGACGTCTATTAACGTAAACGTTTGTTTTGTACGTTTACGTCATTTTTTTTTTGTATCAACTCAGGAAGCTGAATAAAGCGAAACATGTTTTGATACTTAATTTGTGTTGGTTTTTGATCCAATTATCCTATTGAATTCAAGTCACATTCTGTATCAGTACATTGTGTTATAATATATTGTGATATCTTTTATATTTTACCAAATCGATTTGTAATAAGATATTGTTGTACATTTCCTATAACCTATTAAAATAGTTAGTCTTTTAAAATAAGACTTGACAATGAAAAAGGAATACAGTGTCACTTTAAGCAAGTACACTCAGTACAATGATATCGGCTAGGACTTAAAGCTTCCAGCCCTACAGATGAGATAACGATAAAATTTTAGAATGCCAACATATGGAAAAATAACTATGCACACGTTTTGAATAAAATGACATATGCCAAACAATATTTTTGTATAACGTGTGATAAAAACACAGAAAAAGCATTATTTAAAAAATATTTTATCCCACAACATTATCGTGGACTGAAAGTACCCGTAATAAGTAAATTACGTTCTATGTTTTCTTTGTATTTTTTTTTAGAGTATTAGTTTCGAGGAATTAACATGATTTTAGAGACATGCTGCATATTCAAATCAAAGGGGGGATATATGTGCGAGAACAGTTCTATTTATGGAAAAGTTCTGCATTCGATGCTTTATAGTTTATTAACAATTATCGTATCTTATCGTAAGTGAAGTTATATATGTATGTGAAATAAGAGTAGAAAAAAGAAGAACTGATTATCAAATATGCAATTACCTCGACGCCATATGCGTATTGAAATTCTTTGTTAACTGTCAACCAAAAACCATGCCATGCCACTATGCCATATTGTTTAATGATTGAATGACCAATTTCTTCATAAGAAAAGACAACATGTGTTCGTCCTTTGATGACTGATGGGATTAGACTCACGAGCCGATGATCTGCCAATCCTTTTGGTTATGCTACATAGAAAGACAAGGAAAACAGTTAAACACATGATAACATATAAATTATACGCGGTCAGTCGTAGCAAAATATCCAGAAACTACATCAATTCCTTTATTTATAGCTGGCAGGAATGAAAAAGGTGATACATAAAACGAAGAGTATAATCGGAAAAGATTTAATTTTGTGTAAGAAATAAATTATAAGCTAGGTATACACAGAATTTATAGTACTGAGCAGATGTCTACTTTACACGGCCGATCGCACATCAAGTTTATGTTGCGATAAACCCTTATTACCAAATGCAACTTTACAACAAAATATCATTCACATGTGAGTGTAGAAAAAAAAAATAATGTTATAAATATTTGGCCTCCCAGCAAGATAATTAGTGAAAAATAGTCTGCTCTACCCAACAATGTCAAATATATACATACTTTATACATTATCAAAGACCACGCCCACAACTAACGGTCTAAGACCGCGTGGTAGTACTAATTTATTTAAATCGGCATTTAACCAGAGGTTTATACGACCAACATCCGAAAGGTTAAGATTGTCAAAGCTTTAAATATTTAAGCTACCCATTTTATTTACAGGTATAATAACAAGTCTCTAAAAAGAGCTGGCACTTATTCTAAACAAATATAACCAGCCTGTAGAAAATTCAGTTGTCTGTGTTCGATATGGGTTTTTCACGAAAGTTGTATATAACCATTACTGTTCGTTTTATCTTATATTAACCACCTACTGAATAAGTTGATGATAATTGACACCACACAAGAATTGGTATTAGAAATAAAATGTACGCAAAATCATTAAAATTTATATTATGCGGTGAAAAAACCCCAACTAAATTCATTCAATGAATAACAGAATTCTGCTTCAGATAGGGCAGATACTACAGTAATTGAAATTCGTAACATATTGAAATATAAACCAGATATATAGATAAACAGTATAAATCGTCAATGTTGAATCACTATCTGTTTAGGAGAAACCAAGCACGTGTTCGTGCTGATGGCACGTGTTCGTGCTGATGTGTCAAGATAACTAGAAAATTGGGTTTTCAAAAAGTAAAAGAATATTCAAATGTATTAAACAGTCGGAAACTAAATAAATCATGCACTTTTATATTGTATAATACTAAAGCTAACTGATTTATTTAATTAAGGCAAGGTAGAGAACAAAGGTAGCGAACTCACTAACTATGAAATACAATGTACATGAGAGGTAGAACTTAAAATCGTAGAATACAATCTCTAACTGTTAAAAAAAAACAATTATGGCAAATAAAATACTTATCTGAATGTTAGATGACGGTATTCGGCATTTTAAACCATATCAGCTGCTATATAAACATCGGCTGTGGGTTTTAATGAACGATGTTACCACGTTGGAATTTAAGCTAGAAGTGATTTACTAAAGCTGTAGGATTCTACGCACGGAATTCACGTGACAGAGATAACGGTGTAAACTTCTAAACCTGTTTTATACACGCTTAGACGAGTGTTGATACGGTCATGCATTAATAACCCGCTAAATTAAAACGCTTTATTTAATAAAGAAAATAAACCCACTTAATTGAGACTTCTAGGATAAATCAACGGAGTAAATCTTAAGTTTCCTGGCTGTGCATGGGTAAGTACAAGCACGAGAGGACACGTTGGTTCCATTGGTAACCCTGAAACCATCCTCACGTGACAATTGATTTAACGTCATATCCGGAATTTGAACAATTCGGCTACTACTCTCAGTGACGCAGCTTCATAGTGTATGTGTATGTATAATAAAAACAACGGTTATAATGAGGGGAAAATGAGAAGAAAATAAAACGTATATAGAGAAGTAATCTGAACGTATTTATCGTTTCAGATAAAAGTGAAAACAATACATACAAAACAGTAAGTAAACATCAAAAGTAAATGAGTTGGGTATCAAGTGCTTTTGACATTAGATTAAGAATTTGAATTTGAATTTAAATTTCTTTATTTGGCAGGTTAAGTTTGACGCATGAATACCAAATGGTGCCATGAGAAGTGGTGTCATTAACCTTGCACTGATATATGGACGTAGTGTGGCATGGCACACTTTTAGACTACCCCTTTTCGTAAAACAATATTAGAACATTTTCTCAAAGTTCTATGTTTCTAATCAAGTGTCCTTTAATCGTATAGGCTTTTCATAGAAATTATTGGCCACGTGACATAAACTTATTCAAGGTCATGACCATATTTTAATGATTCCATTCAAGGTTATATATTGTAGTCATTATTAAGCATTTTTAGATTAAGCGTTTTTTACCAGTTTAATTTAAAACTAAGTCGTTTCAATCAGATCTAAAAAAACACATTTTTAATATATTATTTTACTTACCGCATTCCAGTCTTCTACGAAATGTATATACACCGATAAAATCAAACAAGCTATTAAAATAAACACATACACGCCGGTCCAATTAAGTAACATCTTTTGTAAAGACATCTTTGTATTTCAAAATATAAACGTAAAAAATCAATTTAAATAACAAGCCAATGTAAAATCAAGAAATTTTGTTATCACTTTTACTAGAAGTTGAGCAAATGAAAAGGTGACGGAAAATAACGGAAGGGCCCGTCTTTCGCCATTGTACGGAATTTTCCGCATAAACGCATCAACTCACTTAAAATTCTTGATTTTCGATAACATGAAAACATACGCGAATGCTGAACACGCATTTGATCGTTTTAATTTCTTGTTACATATGTTACAGTAAGCGCAGGGAAGAATTGAAAATGGTTGCCTGATATGAAATACGTTTGTATACTTAATTACACAATGTCAATGGTAGTTTGTTTTCCAATGAAAACGTCCCACAAGCTGTTGCCGTCTCATGAAAAAATAAACGTAAGACCAATCCATAATGTCAAAATGAGGCTACGTTTTGGAACACTTATTGATTATCATGATATACATAAATATATGCAATAGTTTAGTTTATCTTTTTTTTATTTATTTATTTTTTTCGTGAAATTGACTGCTTCCTGAACAGCACAGCTTATGATTCTTCCGAATTCACGTATATATTTCACTCCTCAGAAGCCAACACACTGGTTTCGAGCTTCGTATATGAAGATAAAATTTCAAGTCCATATATAGTAACATGTAACACCGCCCCCTCCCCTCAACCCCCCCCCCCCCCCCCCCTGAAAAATACTTAATATATACATATGCATGTACATATGAACATAACCATATTCTATATGAAGTGCAAAACTGAATCATACCTATATTTCAGGAGCCGAATGTGATATGAGTTAAGCGGTTTTGTATGAGTCCAATATAATCAGTATTGTACTTTGACATCTTTCTTTCATACTTCCTTTTTTTACAGAACTTTGTAACTTCAAGTACAATATGGATTTCGACTCTGAAAATGTAAACGAGGCTACATGGGGTACGATATGCATTTAATACGGCATTTTTTTAAGGAAAGACGAGGTTAAATTGATAAGAGGGGATCCAAGTATTCTTTCTATGGGAATATTACGTTGTTCTAACTCGTAATATTTTATAAGAAATCATTTCGTGACGTAACTACAAAGTGTAGAATACGGAAATATGTATTTTTTAGTGTAAAAAAACCTTTATTATCGGAAAAGTAAAAGAGAAAAGAGAAAAGGCTCCCTACAATTGTGTGTGAGTCATCAAGATATATTGTTAATATTGCTAAATCAGTGAAGGTCATTGACCATTTATCGTCATGATTCTCGGTCAACTCTTTGTTTATGTGTGGATTAATTTTGTATTTTATTCTCTGTTTCCTTTTATCTTTTTTCTTTCATTTTATTTACCTATTTTTATTGTTTTGTGTTTTTTATTGTTACTTTTTTGGGGGGGGGGCGGAGGCTTAACTTTATAGGGTTTACGGATGCTGTTGCTATTGAATCCTCTAACTTATCGATATATTAGCCATTATATTATATTGTTGTTGTTGTTGTTGTTGTTGTTGTATTTGTTGTTGTTGTTGTTGTTGTACAGGGTTATAAAGCAATATTTGCGACACCAAATAACAAAATAAAGTCATTATTATTAATAAATATTTTATGATAACGATGCTCAAATTGGAAATTAAATAATGACCCCACGTGTCGTCTGTCAAATTCGATTAAATAGATAATTATCGGTTTTCCAATTACATGTTCGACGTTTATAGATATTAATAATGCAGAGCACTACAGATTTCTGTTGCTATAGATTCCAATTTTCCGTCTGATTAAAATAATAACATACATGTTACCAATGTCATGTTCTTTGTTTCTGCTCATAATGCTGTAATTTGGATTCTTGGCAACTACATTAATCATGTGACCGTTTTAATCCGATGAATGGGCTATATAATCCAGTGTCGTCCTTTATTAATTCTGTCAAATGAATTTCCTACCTGTTTTTCCCGGTTACCATGGCAACTTCGATTCTCCCAGGAATAAAATGCAAATGGAGAATGATTCTATATATAAGAAATGACAGCGTTGTATCTAGTATGACATAAAATATTGGATTTATTGACAGTTTGTTTACATCATGTTTTGGTGATTTTTCTGATGTACAATGCTAAATAACAATTTGGATATATATACCAACATATTTGAATCAAATGGAATTTGTACGTATTTTTAAACATTTTTATATTTAATTACTTCACATACTGAGTACATAAAAACTGATAAAGAAGTGTTATTTTATTGGTCAGTTTTTTAAGATAAACACAAGCAGGCGCGTCTTGCTGCGTGTTGCAGACGACATTTTCAATAAGTCATTTACTTTAAAGACGCAAATAACAATCGAAAATCATTCATAAGCATTTATTAAAGCTGAGGAAAACAAATATGAAGAAATAAGCAGGTTCTTATTTATATGTACGATTGTCTTTTGCTTTCTTGTGTTCTTTTTATATCATTTTCTGTAACGGCCGTCCATATCAAATGATAATGCGTCAGAAATCACAACGATGATAAGAAACAGTATCTGTTGAAACCTTTACTAAGGTGGGGCGAAATCGCAAAAAGAATGTCAGATTCTTGTGGTTTTAAACGGCGATTTCGTGATTGTCTTGAGAAAAAAAATCATGATCTTGTATTGTTTTAAAAATATCATTCTGTATAACGGTTTTGGGATTTAATTTTCTTCCGTGTGTAGCCAAATGCATTTCCCTTCCTTGTCACACATACTAACATGACTTGTTTTGTATTAATTTGTAGTATAATTAATAAACCACTTTTATAATATGTAGAGTTTTCACAAAACCTTATATGTAACCAAACATAAGTGTAAAAGTGTCAAAATATGTGATTAAGATCAACCGTTTATGAGTTTTCGTGAGTCTTGTTTATAATTATTATTTCACATAATGTGATTCAGGGCGCCTCAGATTCCCACCCTCGGTAATTCGAACCACCATGTAATTAATTGAACATTAAAAAATAATAATGTGTCTCATTTTCATTTATAATAAGCAACCTGGCATGCCTTCCGCAAATTATTATGAAGATGATATACAAAATATTATTATGGCTAAGTTATTGCATAGAGGATATTGAATGAGTGTAAGTTCAATACTGAATTTATTGCATGAGTTGAATAAAATTATATTATGCGAGCCTCTGGCGAGCATAATATTATTTTATTCAACGAGTGCAATAAATTCAGTAATGAACTTACACGAATTTAATATTCTATTTATCACATACCTAAAATAAAGACCGTTTTAAGTGAAATAAGAGTCATTTTTCATTGACGCGACTATTGTATAACGCTAACATTTAGCGCGTCTGCACACTATGTTTGTATAACGCTAATGACGTCACGTCAAAATATATGCACGGCCGTGCAATACCATATTTACGGAGTCGCAAAATCGGCACGGGTGTGTGATAAATTACTTTACGACCTTGTGACGCTAATCTACGTAAAAATCATTATTTTTCTCAAATTTAAAGTTTTTTATGTACATAACTATTACGTATAATGTAATACTATATAATTAATATGCAATCGTTAAATCATGCTTAAATCCCAGGGCCCCGGCGAAGTCTTCAGAGACTATCAGGTTTTTAGAAATGAAAATAATGGATTCTCAAATGAATTCCGCGTGATTAGATTACCTCTTTGATTATATGGTGTCTGTGGAAAGTGCATTGAATTACTTAATGGAAGGTGGGAGAATTGATTTAGATTGTTTGTTGATTGTCTGTTCGTTCATCTGCCATTACAGTGGTAATTGAATTACACAATCTTTTACTCCAGGGGAGGGGCACGCAGAGCGTTTTCTCATTTTTAAACCCTTTTGGAAAATTTCTAGATAAGAATAAATTTTAAATACGTCTTTTTTTTATTTTTTTTAAAAAGGGGGGAAATTTAAGAAAATTTCACCCAAGGGGTTTTCTGAAGATAGTTCGCTTGATAAGAAATAAACGTAAAAAAGAATTTGGTTGATTTTACTTTTTAATTTATTTTTATTTTACAAATCATTGGAAATTCAATTAAAATTTTAATAGGGGATTAACATGCAATCGAAAAATTGTGTTTTCTAAATGACTGTATAGTTTGAATTACAGTTACGACTGCCTTTAAAATGTAATGATTTGAATCTTGAACTTCAAAAGAATATTCGATACTCTAAACATATAAGTGATGGTTTGACATTTGAACATTTAATGTCTTCAAAATTTGTTCAGGTCAGACATTTGAATATTTGATGTCTTCAAATTAAGATCAGATCTGAAATTTGAATATTTTCAATTCTCAAACATATAAGTTTTTTCTTTTTTTCTGTCATGCTATGCATGCATTAATTGTAGAAAAAATATATTTAGTATAATAATATTTTAATGCATACATGTGTATAAATAAACATCAATTTTACATCAACATATATACAAAATGCACAAAAAATATGTAGCGATGAATGATGAAAAGAAGTAAGTATATTATTACAGAAGTAGAGCTAACTCTTATGTAATAATAATATAGTAATAATTTATTTTGTCAATAACTGATAAAAATTCTAGATTTTTTCATTTATTCTTATAATACGATTGTCATATTTGTCGAGCGTTTCAATAACGCGACGATAAAGTCTTTGTGGAATAATTGACACACCCTTAGTATCTATGACAAAGCAAAATATCGTCTGTCAATAACTGAACTTCTATAACTATGTAGGCAAGAAAATGTATATTGCATGTAACATAAGCGGCTCTGTTCAGTTCAATGTATATAACTATTCATTATGTTCAATTGATATTATTTTCAGCAGACGATGGTTACAATTAGAAAAGCATGTGAACTATTTATAGACGGAAATTGAGCGTGCCGCCATTATGATCGAGACAGACGACTTCCAAAATATTCTGACAGGACAGCTGGGAAATATACCGTCACTTCCGGCCAATGTCGTAAAAATATTTATTTGCGCAAACCCAGAAGGTTAGTATAAATCTCCACAAAAGTTCTCATAAAGAATGTTTTAAAGTGACATCATGCCCATCAAAGTTTAAATGGTGAGTGGACAAGTAAAAGTCCAAAATGGAATAAAATGATAACATTTTGCCATAAATTGGTTAAATTTTAATTTTTACTGTGCTAAAATAATAAAAATTGCACGTGACTGACATTTCGGAATGTATCGGTAACGTTCATTTAAAAAAAGAACTGGGCAGTCTATTTATAATTTAGGTAGTTTTTATACTTTCTCCTAAACATTTTCCATAATCAATCATTGTCACTATAGAAATATATAACTAATTCATTTCCACTTGACAGCGAATAAATGAGCATAATGTCACTTTAATTTTAACGTCAAGATTTGTGTATTTCTATGATTAGATACTGAATGTAGGTCATTTATATTTTTTAAATAAAAACATGGTCTCGGAAAATCGAACATTTTGATGATATCGTTTCCAATTTCAATGGCACTGATTTAGTGTTTTATTGGCCAAACACTTATTCTAATATATTAATGCATAAAAGTGTAGGCTAGGTTACACAGAATATCTTCAAAATTCATTACTTTAAAACGGACCTCATATGAGGAAGGTACCCTTCTGTCATCTACAAAGAAACTATCTTTTATTGTAGAATTGCTGATTGTTTGATGAAATAACTGATAACTGGAGTAGAGCTATTAAAATCTAAAATAACGCACGAGTTAATATAATTTAAACACATTCAATGCAAACATTCCGATGATGATGTTTTCAACATTTATTTTCTTCAGAATTTGACGTTGAGCGGAAATACCTGTGGCATGAAGTATTGCCGGACCTACAGCAACATTGTTTGCAATATGGTCTAGATGTTCTATTTATAGACATGCTGCATGGCGCATACGATGACGCCACAAGCAGTGCGGAAAACTTGCAAGCTCGCTTAAGTGAAATTGAAGAATGTCACGCGGAATCTGTCGGTCCTTTCTTTCTGGTAAACATAATACATGTTATGCTTTCATTTCATTATTAATGAACATTTTCTAGTTATTTTAGACATACATTTAATTCAGTCATTGATATTTTATTTATATTTTACATTTACTATAAGTTAGACGATGATACTTTCACTCCCTTCGTTCATGTTAAATATCAACGACCCCATTGCATTTACCTCAAACATCGTCAATTTTCCAAATAATCATGTAGATGCCGTCATAAATTTCCAGTGCACAAGTTATATGTAATTAGCACTTAAGCGTTCGTTTGTTAATCCAATATTTATTGAATGTCACTTAACCGCATATTTCTCGTTAAATCGACATTTACGTCAGGAAACCACTAAAATATAATATGTTACAATAAAATCAGAAAATTACACGAGTTCGCTGTAAGCGATGCCATACCTTATTTTCTGTCTGTGTCGAAACAATTTTTCTACCCGTATCTTCGTATGCTTCCATGTCCATTTACTAGGCTAATTATTTGTCCGTCCGTCCACCACTATTTCTTTGTTTGTTAAAATAGTAAGATACCTGAAGCTTCGCAAGAACACTTTTTCTTCGTGGGTGTGTGTGGGTGGGGGGTGGGGGAGGGTGGGGTGTTGAGGGTTATTTCTTTTTGTTGTTGTTGTTTTTTTGTTTTTTTTTTGTTTTTTTTTGTCTATTTGTCCGTTGTCAGCTTCATTTAATACATCAATTTTCTTCGAAATCTTTTTATTTAATTAACCGATGAGTAACTTCTACTTTTGGAGGATGTATGAATTAAATTCATGGTGATTGTGCAGTCCATCAAATAGAGCTCCACTTTGGTTATTTTTATTCGAAAAGAACCATTTAGGGTTTCACAATGTCTCTACAAAAAGCAATGACCTTTTCTCGTGTTTATAGCATCTTTTCTCCGATACTTCAAAACTAAATGGTAAACAAGTCTCTATTTCTAAGAACACAAAAGAAATTTGTCACAAAATTTTATTTTATTTCAAAGCAAGCATTGACCACCTGATGACCTGTCTTTTGTATCTTTGTTTGTCAAATGATATTTTGAATACTTTGTAGTTTCAGTCAAAAGGTTTTTATTTAGTAGGCGTTTTTACTTGTGAACTTGTGAAGTAAGATTTTGTATTGATTACAGTAAAGCAATAGAAAACGTTAGCGAATGAATAAATAAATATATATCTTTAATAAGTAAAGTACATTACAATTATCTTTTTAAAACAGGGTTTACTTGGAGACGAATATGGAGACGTCCCACTTCCGGCAGCGTTCAACGAGCAAGAATTTCTGTTCATCATCGAAAATGGCGGGAAAACGCAAGCTCAAAGTAAGTCTTTTAAACAAACATTCAAAATGTTTCCATATATTGATGAAAAAATGTGTGTACCATATTTGCTCATGTAGGCACACCTTGTCAGCGGCACGTTTTGATCAAGACGAACAAGGCAAACGGAAATGGGCATTTGTCCTTACTCATGTCCAACCCTTTACCCATCTTCCCGGGTCAAACAAGACATCAAAGATTTAAATTTCTCAAATATCACTTAAGTAATATTTGAATGTCCCATTTTCCTGCATATCGTGATATAATATATCTATGAACCTTGTTTTAAAGTTAGCGGTAGTTTTACCGTACTTTGCTTAGCATGTACCTATAAAATGTATTTTCATTGGTTACATTATAATTATTGTATTGGTATACAAAGGTATCATATTCTTGAAAAAGGTCACATTGTAAGTCGAAAAAAATATTGATTGGAATACTAGATATCATTTTAGGTATTCTTCATAGCTTAAATGATATATCTTGCTTTGGCAGAAAATTATGTGAATGTAAACTTTGTTCTTTCATTATGTTGAGTCCGAATATCATTTCTGTGCTATGCTTGCAGACTTGAGCAAAATGTCAGGTGTGCAATTAAAAGTTTTTTTGTATGTCTGAACAAATTAGATGTTATATAATCTTTTGAAGTTCGTGTAATGAAACATTATAAGAAACGCCGCAGAGAACTTATAGCATGTGACGCAGTTAAGAAGGGATAAAATAGATGTAAATAATCACTGCAACTTAATTAAACGTGTATTTTTTTTATTAATTTGTCTTCGGCATAATATATCTTCACTGAAAATGTATTTCAAATTGTTATGTGTTTTTAGTGTTATTAACATGAAAATGCTTGTATTGTGCCTGCATTTGTGTTATTTTAAGACATTATAATTTTCTATATTTGAAAATTTTCAACTGCAACCTTAATGTAATTGGTATACAGGCAAGCATTGTACCCTCTTAACATTATTTTTAACAATACATTTATCAGAAATATACTTCTATTTTGATACCAGTACAAAAACATCTAAACGTTTAAGAACATCTGATAATCTCTGAGGTGAGCATAACCTGTATGGAACAGTGTTTTAATAATTTATTATGGTGGAGAAAAAAAAGAAAGTACATCTACAATCACATTTGGTGAAATATTTTTGTATGACGTGCATTAGACTAATACGAGACTAATCAAATAAATGCACCCTTTTTTGGTGTTTGGTGTTTGTGCTGGGATTCGCTCAGATACTTTTGGTAAATCTTCAAAGCATCGTCAGCAATGTTTCTGGCAATCGTTCATTCCCCGTATTTCGGAAAGGCACAATTATTCTGATATCAAATATCCTTATAAAAAGACGCGTGTTACTTTAATTATGTGTTTCATTACAATGTCTATGGCTTTAAAAAAGTAAATCAAGATGACGTCATAATAGTTTAATTATTCGACACTTCTACAAGCAAGGTGAACTTTGATCAAGCGAATAAGGTTACAGACTCTGGGTTAATAGAATATGTTCGAGACAGAAGTCTACATCTCTCGCAACCCCTAGCACCGGCTGAATTAGTATTCAATTTTCAATACTAAAAGTATTGCAATGACTGCTTGAATCAACACAAATACTTTACCAAACCAAATGTGAAGCTTATAGCCTGCTGGCAGCAGCATATATTCAAACCATGCGACCATTGCAGACCAAAATCAGCCGCTGATCATGGGCTGCACTTTTCGTTGTTACGTCAGAACAAATATTTTGAAATTTTCCCTATAGATGATGAAGCTTTTGTCCAAATTGTAAGATGGGCAAGATACTTAATGCAAGGTATCTGGTATGCCCTGGGTCAACAACTTAATGCGACTCCAATGAGTTATTTGGGTTTTTTTAACATGACATGACAGGACAATATGTTTCGAGATTTTTTATACCATTTGATGTAGGTGTCTGAACCTTTAACTTGTGTACAGACTTTCAGAGCATTTCCACGCCCTGTTCTTTCAGATAAATCCTTTTTGTCCAAAACAGCACATAACAAATTCGATTTTCAATTCAATTTTAG